ACTCCTAGTTTTAAGTTATTGAATCTTGTAAAAGACTTGCTAACAATCTGAGTTTTTTCTTTGCTCTTTCTGTTAGCAAGTTCATTAAGTAAAAAAAATTCACCTGCTTCTGTACAACCATGTAGTAAGTTTGTAAGAACATATATGCAGTAATGCAGTTAATCTTTATAAGGGGCAGGAGACAGCATGTCTGTCAGCTATCACCAAATGATATGTTAATCCTAGTTATTAGTAAATTACTTAATGGATTTTTAATCTATGTATTCCCTGAGAACAACCTCAATAAATTAGAAATTAAATACCAAATGGAATATGGTAGTTTAATATGTGGATTTAAAACCCACATATAGATTTGTAAAAACACAGCCAATATCACTACTAGATTTCTCAGATTTGGTGGTAGACTAGATTTCTTAGATTGGTGGTAAAGATCTTTCCAAATGCACCGTCATAATTGGCCACGTCTAGCACTTTTTGCCCTCCAAATGTTTTTGGAGGAAAGAGTTGTCAGTGGGTAGTACTTGCATAAATACATGTAGAGTTTTAAAAGCCTTATCTTGTTTTGGCAGGTTTATTTTGGAACTTCACATCCAAGGTCGTATATTTCAGCCAACTTAACTGGCTTTAAGTGTGTAACAGGAATGTCATGCTTGATGAGGAAGGACGTCTTGGACCAAGCTGGAGGACTGATAGCTTTTGCACAATATATTGCTGAAGATTACTTTATGGCCAAAGCTATAGCTGATCGGTAAGATGACTGAATCATAGAATCGTTTAGGTTGGAAAAGACCTTTAAGAGCATCAAGTCCATCCGTTAACATAGCACTGCCAAGTCCACCACTAAACCATGTCCCTAAGCACCACATCTACACCTCTTTTAAATACCTCCAGAGATAGAGACTCAACCACTTCCCTGGGCAGCCTGTTCCAGTGCCTCACTACTCTTTCAGTGAAGAAGTTTTTCCTGATATCCAACCTAAACCTGCCCTGGTGCAACTTGAGGCCATTTCCTCTCATCCTATCGCTTGTTACTTGGGAGAACAGACCAACCCGACCCCCACCACGCTACAACCTCCTTTCAGGTAGTTGTAGAGAGCAATAAGGTCTCCCCTCAGCCTCCTCTTCTCCAGACTAAACAACCCCAGCTCCCTCAGCCGCTCCTCCTAATTATTCCAGGTGCGGCCTCACCAGTGCCGAATACAGGAGCACTATCACTTCGGTGGTCCTGCTGGCCACACTATTTCTGATACGAGCCAGGATGCCATTGGCCTTCTTGGCCACCTGGGCACACTGCTGGCTCATGTTCAGGCAGCTGTCAACCAACACCCCCAGGTCCTTTTCCGCCAGGCAGCTCTCCAGCCACTCCTCCCCAGGCCTGTAGCATTGTTACATGGCGTGGTTGTGACCCAAGTGCAGGACCTGGCACTTGGCCTTGTTGAACATCATGCAATTGGCCATGGCCTATCGATCCAGCCTGTCCAGATAACTAAGTTTATTGCTTTAAGTGCAGTTTAAATCTTCTTTTTAAACACATGGTACATACTGTAAGTATAGGTGTTCAGGTGAGCTTCATATGTGTACAGCAAACATGCTTATGGCATGTGCTTTGTCCTATCAATGTAGTCTTTTAGAAATAATTAGGCCATATCATTGTCAATTCCTTTAGAAAAAAGTTTCTGAGTATTTAATTATTTTCCAAGTTTAAATATTATTCAAGTGGTATTTGCTCTTTTCCAATGAAGAGACTTGATAAAATACACTTAATTTTTTTGCTTATACCCATTGTAATAATATGGCACATATGCCAAAGAAACTTTTCAAGCCTAATAAAATTCTTGGGTGTTTGTTCTCTAGTTGTTTTTTGCATCTCTTATTTGTGTGTTTTTATAATAATACATTCATTTTTCAGGGGCTGGAAATTTGCAATGGCCACGCAAGTTGCAATGCAAAACTCCGGTTCATATTCTATTTCTCAGTTTCAGTCCAGAATGATCAGGTAAAATTTTAATCCTTACTTCCTCTCCCACCCACCCCTGTCACCTGCTTCTGATGTGGATAACCTGAAAATGAGAGGGAATACATTTTCCAAGCTAATTTGATCTAATGTCCAGAATGCTGAAGTTCCAGTGCACAGCTTGATGCACAGTCCTTGTTAGCATTGGGAGAGAGGCACTGACTTTCCACAGAAGTATGAGTGATACAAGTATTAAAAAACCTGCTTAGTACCTTTTAAATGCTATGTGCAGTATCTTTGACGGGGAGAATTTTTGCAATATTTTATTTGGAGGTGTAAATGAAATGAGATTAAACTAACATTGTCAGAAAAGACCATGATGGCTCATCATTTGATGAGGTGGGGGAGGAGGACATAAAGAATAATGCAAAGTCAGAACTGATTTGTTTGTCTTTTTCTAGGTGGGCCAAACTGCGAATTAATATGTTGCCTGCCACAATAATTTGTGAGCCAATCTCAGAGTGCTTTGTTGCCAGTCTAGTTATTGGATGGGCAGCTCATCATGTGTTTAGATGGGATATAATGGTATTTTTCATGTGTCACTGCTTGGCGTGGTTTATATTTGACTATATTCAACTAAAAGGTGTTCAGGTACGTAGCTTCACTTTCTTTGGAGGTTATTAAAATTACTAGTGCCATCTACTTCAGCAAAAAGCTAAGCCTAATTATAACAAAATAATTCTCTTGACATCAAGGAGATAACAGGTCAAATCCTGTTACTTCTCAGTATTCCAGCTTTGGTTATAGTAGCACGAAAAAGAGTAAGTGTGCTTGGTTGTAATTTTGTTTTCTATATGCCCCTGCCTCTACCTAGGCTCTGAAAGTTTGCATATCTGTCCCCTTAATCTTCATGTTTCCAGTCTGGTCTACCTAGGCATATCCAGAAATTTTAAGCTTTTTTTTTAACAGTACAAGAACAACAGCTTTGTGGTATTTTATGGTTTTTTCTTTTATCTTAGTTGTCACTTTGTCTTGTATTTATTGAGGTGTATAGGTACTCTGTTTTTCCCTCTATTTCGGCAATAATGGACTTAGAAGACAGCTGTAGCCTACTTCTAAGAATAAAATCTTCCCCTCACTAGAAGTGAGGCCTCAAAAAACTTGTAATATAGAAAGATGTCACAAGTCAGAACAGCATTTGTTCTTCTAATGCTGTAGGAACTACTTAAACTACTTTCTGCTGTGACCATATTCCATCCAAATCTGATCCAGAATTACTTGTGTATTCAGACTTATCAAATAGTTCTCATAATACTGAAAAATATTTGTTTAGTAGTCTTAACACATACTGGAAATAAAAAGTTAGGCCTTGTGTTGATTCTGTAGGACTCCAGAAGGTCAGTTTAAGTCACCTTTCTGATTACTTTTCTCACCATCTGCAGCATGTAAAAGAGCTTTGTGCCTACTCTTCTTCTAAAGCCTCTTTGATTTCCAACTCTGCGTGTAGCTGGAAATTCTCAAAGGAGCAGATAATATAGAGAGCCTATAAGCTTTTTTTTCTTCGTCTCATTTTTCCTATGCAATAGGCCAAAGTCTTGTTTATTTGAATTTCACTCCTCTGGGAACATGCAGGAGTGTTCTGTCTAGATGCTCTTCTTCTGGGGTCTGTGGCAAAAACCCAGTGTCTGCTTGAACACAGTTTTACAAAGCTTCAAAATGAAAAAAGTGAAATTATCACACTTTTCTTGCCTTTTGCTCTACATACAAGTCTTTCTTCAAACCTTCTGGGTCATTCTGCCAAGGTCCTCATGTTTAATATGGGTAATCATATCTTGAAGAGGAAAATGGTTTTGGCTTATAAAAAAATACACTATTGATGTAAATCTGTATAATAAGCTTTAGAATAGATTTATCTGTAACACAAATGTTTTAAATCATTTTAAAATTTCTTCTGAATAATCAGTATGTTGAAATACTTTTTTTTTTTTTTTTTTTTTATTCCTAGGGTGGTGCTCTGTGTTTTTCAAAACTTGATTATGCAGTAGCTTGGTTCATCAGAGAATCCATGACAATTTATATTTTCCTATCTGCTTTGTGGGACCCCACTATTAGCTGGAGGACAGGACGCTACAGATTACGTTGTGGAGGCACTGCAGAAGAAATTCTTGATGTATAGCCACAGCTTTATAACTGTGAATGTCAAAAAGAGAAGGGGGGGAGAAAAGTATTATAAATTGTTTATATAAGTACTTTTAAGAAAATCTACCTTCAGTAGTTTTATTACTTGTATGTTTTGGTATCTGTTCTTTAATTTATTTTTGCATGGCACTTGCATCTGTGAAAATACATCTGTAGTCTTGGCCAAATGGTACCTTGCTCCTGTGTACAAATAGGAATGGAGAGAATTGGTCCTGACATCTACTTTCTATAGGAATGCTCTGCAGTAAACTCTTTAAAAAAAAAAAAAGTATCCACCTGGATATGAACAGCTTCTTACTCCATGGTGTGCTAGCCTAGCAAATCCAGGGTTCACATAGCTATTTTCCAGCTGGATTGTACAAGACTGTACCTAGTAAAATCACAGAAATACAGCTGATTTCTGTTTTATCCCACTGAACTGAGCTAGTAACAGGACCTTGGGAAAGAAGCTCTTAAATGCTTTATGCCTACCTCTTGTAGTTGCTGCAGAACAAAAGGAATGGAAAGGTAAAAACGCTTTGCAAAAACAAACTAAAGTAAAGCTGGAGTCTTGTGTCTATATGTATATATGAAATACTTTAGTCATTGCAATGAACCAAAAGTGGACTGAGTTTGATAGAATGAGTTGGAAGGAATTACCAGTCAGGCATGTATTGTGGGCATCTTTTGGCCAACTCTGATCTGGTTCTGTCTTGAACCTTGTTAAGCACTGTGCTGTAACTAGCCAAGCTGGTCCCCTTCAATATTTCCATCCTTTTTTAAGGGGTGTTTGTTTTTCCCTGTGAGTGAATGCTTTGATGGGGGGTGGGGGGTGGCGTGTGTGTGTGGGACATAGTAGGTGGTAGAGGGAGCAGAAATACGTTTCAGAAACATTTCACACATGAGCTATTTTCTTACACAATGTCTTAAGAATGTAATTTCATGATGCAGGTATTTAATATCTTTTTAAAGTGAACATACATACCTATACTGATCATAATTAAGTATTCAATTGCAGTAGATATTGTGACTGTATAAAAAGGCCAGGTGAGTTTGCTGTTACTGATTAAAATTGTAATCTTAATTTAAATATCAAACTAAGTCTACTCTTGGCTTTTTGCCTTCTACTGTTAGTCTAGCCTTTAAATTGGACTTTTGTATTCCAGTGGTATGACTAAAAGGACTAGATTATAATGCATGCCGTGTTTTTCCCGTCTCTGCTCCCTGTAGCTTGGTTTCCAACCTCATTGTGAGACTTCCTAATTTGTGGTGAACTGGACTTGTTTTCTTCGAACACTTTTTAATTAAGAAAACAAAACAAAGCTAGAGAGGGATGTTGCATAAGCCTTTTGTTTTCCATAATTGTATTTATGCTGCTTTACTTTTCTTCAGATGGAATAGCATATTGCCACCATGAATGTGAGCTGCTAATTACAAGGCTCATGCCAACAAAGCAGCTTTAAAAGCTGGATGATAACGTGTAGCATATTAGCAATAATGACATGTACTTATAAAAATGAATACTTTTACCTTACTGAGCCAATCCCTTACCTGTCATATGCTACACAAGTGTAATGTGTATGTATGTGTTGTAAAACATACTCTGGGCCAAAATGCTTCATCCACCTTAATATCTCTTTTGCCTTATGATACCATGGAACTCTTTTAATGGGCATTTCTGTACGAACAAAGGCTTTTGATGCATGCTTCATTCTTTTCATGTGAATCAGGAAGAAGCACTTTTCCTGAGGAAAGCCGCACACTGAAAGCTAGTCTAGTTGTGACCCACGAAAACACTCTGGCTTTAATATTGTTTTTTACATAGTTGAATTTTGCTGACAATGTTTGTATCTTCATTTATTTCATGAAGTTTGATGCCATTCATTGCACTGCTGAAGTGAAGCTTAGCTTGCGACTTAGCTTTATGCTGATTTCTATGCAGGCAATGGAACAGAACCAAAAAAAGGCTGAACTGACTTCATTTTAAAAAATTAGGTGGGGATAATTGTTTAACAGGTGCTTTTGTATTAGTAGAGCCATCTTTGGTCACGAAAAATAAAGCTTCACTTAAGCAAGTAGTTTCATTTGGGTATTGTTCAGTTGATTATGAAATGGAAATTGACACTGTCAAATGTTGTAGAAGATGCTGCAATAGAATTTCTAAAAGTTAAAAATGGCTAATGTAAAGTTGTGTTGATCTACAGATGTGTAGAATATACCATGTTTATTTAAAATCATTGTCTTGTTTCTTCTTTTATTTAAAAATAAATTTTGACTACAATCTGTTTGGAATACATGTCTTTTTTGCCCTTTGATGCTGTAACATGACAGCTTTAAGTATTTATGGCAGTTTTGATGGATTTGATTTCTAATTAATCTTCATAGCAATAAATGCCTTTCTTTTCAGTTTTTACACCTGGACCATCTATTTTAGATGTTATATTTTTGCTGAAATTAACTCGTGTGCTTAAATCTGATTTTGAGTTATCCTTAGTTTTTTAGAATAACTTCAGTGTGTAAAAACCTCACAACTGAACAGGTAGGGAACCACTTCTTGTTAACTACTTTGCTGGTTTTGGCTGGGATAGAGTTAATTTTCTTCATAGTAGCTAGTATGGGGCTATGGTTTGGATTTGTGACCAAAACAGTGTTGATAACACAGAGATGTTTTAGCTACTGCTGAGCAGTGCTTGCACAGAGTCAAGGCCTTTTCTGCCCCTCACCCCACCCCACCAGTGAGGAGGCTGGCGGTGCACAAGAAGCTGGGAGGGGACACAGCTGGGACAGCTGACTCCAACTGACCAAAGGGATATCCCACACCATATGACGTCATGCTCAGCATCTAAATCTGGGGGAAGGAGGAGGAAGGGGGTGACATTGGGCGTGATGATGTTTGTTTTCCCAAGTAACCGTTACGCGTGATGGAGCCCTGCTTTCCTGAGGATGGCTGAACGCCTGCCTGCCCATGGGAAGCAGTGAAGGAATTCCTTGCTTTGCTTTGTTTGCGTGCATGGCTTTTGCTTTACCCATTAAACTGTCTTTGTCTCAACCCATGAGTTTTCTTACTTTACCCTTCTGATTCTCTCCCCCACCTCACTTTGGGGGAGTGAGTGAGTGGCTGGGTGGTGCTTATTTTCCGGCTGGGGTTAAACTGCAACAGTCCTTTTTGGTGCCCAACGTGGTGCTCGAAGGGTTCAAGATAACAAGAAGTTTGACTGGAATGCGCTAGATCAAATTTATAGCTGTTATTGCTGTTTACCTATTAATTGGCAAGCTCCTGTGCTTGCCATGTGGCTTGTTTGCCTTACTGTATATTAGAGTCTCGTCAGCCTAGATTCAGGTTTTAGAGATGGGTATCTTTGCCACAAAACATGTTGAAACTGAGGAGCAGTGTTGATAACTTTGCTTTGAGGTACTTCACCAAGAAAGCACTCCGTGCTTGTTCCATCATCTGACTTGGCTTTTTCTTATCTCTTCCCTAACACTTACTAAGATTTTCACATGAAACTTTGTGGGTGTGTGTGTGTATGGCAAAGTTGTTGGAATTTGGGAGGCATGGCAGAAACAAACACCACTGGAATTACTTGAAAACTAGTTATAGAAACATCAACAATCCTGAGTGTATTTTGTGCTTGATACATTTGCAGCCACACAGCACAATACCTAAATCCCCTTTCCTGAGTCCTCTTATTATTTTCCTGCCTACTATTAAATAACGTTTTGATTTTATTCTGTGCTTTCAAATGAAATCTTTCCCACTTGAATTCTTTTCATGGCCACTCTTCTGTCCCCTGATGCTGACTACCTGCATTTCCTCTCAGTCTGTTTTGTCATCTGGAAAAGTTTGTCTCCTTCTAACCGCCTGCTTTCATATGTCGCTCCTGGAAGTCGATTCATTCCTCTTAAGGGCTTCTTTGAATCCTCACACCTAATTTCTGATCATCTAATTTTAAGGTGGGTTTGAGCTCTAGCCATTCTTCGGTTGAACTGGGCCCCTAACAGCTGTGACACTAATTCTGGCTGTTGAGGCTAAGGAAGCCTAAAGCTTTGCATGGCAATGGATAAAGTTTTTACAGTTATACAAAGTGACTTCAGCTTAAATAATCTCTAGGTTTGTGTAAATAACACTTGGAAGAGAGGATGGCAGTGTATAGAACAGCAATAATTTCAAACTTAATCCAGCTTTTGGGTCTGAAAATGAATAAACTGAAGTTTCTAACTAATTGTCAGATTATACTGCATGGGTCTACAACTTGGATATTCAGAGTGAATGCACGAGTTTAAATAAAGGTGTTTTCTTAGCTCTTAAACTAAATTTCATGACAGAAATGCCCCACAACAGGGAGTGCTGCATATCTGGGCAGATGAGAACTTCCCCCAGGAAAGTCGTCTCCACCTTTATGTTGGCTTTGGAGAAGGTGTGTATGATTCCTACCTTAGTGTTGTAGAACTGCACTGTAACTCAAATCAGTGATCCGGGATGTACTTTTAACAAAAACAAAACAAAAACCCCTAAAACTAACCCCACAACAATACACAGCCCCCAAAACCCCACAGAACTAAACCCCACTGGCTTTGTATATCCTGTAGATCCTGAGCGTTTGAAGTCAGACTGCTTTAAAGGTTGTTACCTCTTCTGCATTGCACAAACAAATTCACATTGCAGGCTCAGACAATTGAGAACAAGTGATAATTCTTATAGTCAAATTCCCTACATTCTGCTTTCACCGCTTGCTTGACTGGTCCTTAGCATTTGAACCTTTCACTAGGGAAGCAAAGTTTAATGCAGCACTTCAGGCCAGTTTAACCACTGCCATGTTTGTGTTAAAGAGTGTAGTTACCTGTTTCATGTAGAAAGTTGCTGTTGACTATGTTGCAAATCTTTGCTGAAAATTTCTTTTTTTGCAGCAGTTTCTGCTGACAGCTGGCTCTGTTTTCAGTTATAAGTCCTACATGCAGATCTGTGTCCAGTTCTCCCTTCACATACATTTTGTTCAACTACAAGCAAACCAGCCAGTCTTGAGGGTCCTAAGGCTTGGTCAACGTTCAGCTGTAACCTTGCAAG